ACACACTACGACACACACACACACACACACACACACACACACACATACACACACACCACCACTGTGTACACACACACACACACACACACACACACACATATATATATACCTTTAAAGTAGATTTCTCTTCTTTTGGTACAGATGCAGAGGGGCCAGACTGAGACGGCGGTGCGATTGTGAACGTGAAGCCCTGTAGACTGCTGGGTACACGACGTATAGTTAAATCAGCAACACATAATTTCAGCTGGTGTATGACAAGATGTGGGATTGTTCAGATACATACAAGGTGAAACAGTATTGGTACGGTTATTGGTAGGTAGTACAAGTATGTGGTATGTGAATGGGGTGAGATCGCAAACACATCAGTGGGATTTGTTGTCTCATACTAATAAGGATTGCTATTGTAACCATCATAGATAGTGAATACTCGGATCAGACAGTAGATAATGCTACACATAAACAATACCAGCCAGCAGGGCAAATCTAGTACCAGATAATACGACAGATAAGGTGACAGACAGCGAGATAAGTCCAATAATGGCTACGCAGCATGCTTACTAATAGAACAGGCTACGAGTGTCCTGGACACAGGAAGTACGCTACCGAGATCAATACAAGCACAAACCATACACACACACACTGCAAGTAAAAACAAGGAATATCGGGACACATCTTTATCCAAACTATATACGCGATATTCAGTACTAACCCGTTCGAAAGTCATGCACAAGATGAAACCAACGCAAGCTTAAAACATCAATCTTACATTTACGGATTGGACGATAAAAGCCACCCAACAACAATCTTTCGCAATCTGTGCATGCTACTGATTCAGTACAGATGCACGCAATAAATTCACAAAAATTATTGTACGGATATAACACACACACATGCAACTATCAAGGTGTATTGGTGCGCAGATATTACACACGGTGCATACATGGAACTTGCTATGTCCTCTGATATGCTCAGCAAAACCGGGCAGACGATGCGAAGTCACACAATCAACCCACGCCGTTTGCATAGAAGCGTATGCAGAACAACTGCGTCACTCACGTCATGCGTCCATTGAACACATTTAACAAACTATAGAGAGACAGTCAACTAGATACGGACAAATGATCAACTTACAATACTATAGCCGCGATCAATGCCAAGAAGCCAGCAGCTAGAATAGACCTGGATGGGGTCATATACACTTGCATCAAGACTCGGGGACGGGTGTTAAGGTGTAATACAGCTTGGGATACTACAAGCACTTTGCTTCTGGCTCTCTATACTTGAACATATATAAATACTACAGTCGATTAGTAAATATATACACGTAGAGCTAAGTCTGTTCTAAGTCTGTTTAGAAGGAT